AGGACGCAGCTTGAAGGGACGCAGCATGAAGGGACGCAGCATGAAGGGACGCAGCATAAAGGGACGCAGAATGAAGGGACGCAGCATGAAGGGACGCAGCATGAAGGGACGCAGCATGAACGGACGCAGCGTGAAGGGACGCAGCATGAACGGACTCAGCATGAAGGGACGCAGCATGAAGGGACGCAGCATGAAGGGACGCAGAATGAGGGACGCAGCATGAAGGGACTCAGCATAAAGGGACGCAGCATGAAGGGACGCAGCATGAATGGACGCAGCATGAAGGGACGCAGCATGAAGGGACGCAGAATGAAGGGACGCAGCATGAAGGGACGCAGCATGAAGGGACGCAGCATGAAGGGACGCAGCATGAAGGGACGCAGCATGAAGGGACGCAGCATGAAGGGACGCAGCATGAAGTGACGCAGAATGAAGGGACGCAGCATGAAGGGACGCAGCATGAAGGGACGCAGCATGAAGGGACGCAGCATGAAGGGACGCAGCGTGAAGGGACGCAGCATGAAGGGACGCAGCATGAAGGGACGCAGCATGAAGGGACGCAGCATGAAGGGACGCAGCATGAAGGGACGCAGCATGAAGGGACGCAGCATGAAGGGACGCAGCATGAAGGGACGCAGCATGAAGGGACGCAGCGTGAAGGGACGCAGCATGAAGGGACGCAGCATGAAGGGACGCAGCATGAAGGGACGCAGCATGAACGGACGCAGCATGAACGGACGCAGCATGAAGGGACGCAGAATGAAGGGACTCAGCATGAACGGACGCAGCATGAAGGGATGCAGCATGAAGGGACGCAGCATGAAGGGACGCAGCATAAAGGGACGCAGCATGAAGGGACGTAGCATGAAGGGACGCAGCATGAATGGATAAAGTGTGTAGACAAAATCTATCCAGAAGATGATTGAAAATCTTTACTGGAAGACTTGTTTAGACTAAAAACAGACTATAGAAGGCAAACGAAATTTAATGCTGACAAATGTAGAGTTTTGAACATGAAAAAAAAACAGTGCTGCCAGATCTCCGTTGAACAATACTGAAATTGCCAAATCTGAATGAGACTGATCCAAGATTCGTGTTTAATGTTTGGTACAAAGTCAATTGGATGCAGAGATTCATATCAATTATGTCCTCAACCTTTCTAATGAATCTCTCGTGACGCAGAGTATCAAAAGCTTTGTTAAAATCAAGATACAAAATGTCAAATACCTTGTTAATATCAGCTCCTTTAAAAATTAGGGAAAAGACAATTTTCTGGTTTATTCATTTTAAAAGAACAGTCATGCTGAGAACTATCTTGAAGATGTTGGCTTCCTTCTTATATTGGTACAACAGTATCCACACAGCCCCGCCCCCCTAAGGTTTCCCAACGTCAATATAATGTAGTAACTCCTAACTTACCATAGGACCCACAACAGATAACGGGACAGTACGTCACTTTCGCCAGCCGCTTCCATTTTCTACTACAAGAATTTTTGGCCTTATGTAACGCCTACGAGCGAAATGCGACGTTCTTAGTAAGAGGACAACTTGTTTGTGCGAGGACACATTGTTTGTTAAATTGGTAAATTGGTTGTTATATAAATTGGTAAATTGGTTGCTATATAAATTGTTCTATATCAATTCTCAAAACTCATAATTCGTTTTTGAAGTAAAATTTCTTCTGTTCTGATAATTTATTCGTAGGAGTATTTATTCGTGTGAGTATTTGTGTGTATACACACACTAATACTCAAACCATACTCACAAGGATATAAGTGCGTATGGCGATGTCGTAGCTCAGTCGATTAAGGCAGCGTCTGGGATGCTCTCAGACGCAGGTTCGAATCCTCGTCACGGCCCTTGTAGATTTGTTCAAAGGATGTAAGTATCCCTGGGAGTAATGTTAGCTTAAAAACCTTTAAAGTTAGCCTATTATTAACAATATATATTTAAGCATTTCGGCGTCTGGTCACCATGTTAAAAATCTTCTCTCCGTCCCAGGACAAAGGGAAAATTATCTAGCGTCCCAGAACTGGATAAACATGAGATATGGATGTTAATTACGGTAGGGGGATTTAACACCGACCTGCATGAAGCGAAACCGTCGCTTTGTCGTCCAGCTCAAGTAGTTGGGCAAAAAAGGAGAGAGAGAGAGAGAGAGAGAGAGAGAGAGAGAGAGAGAGAGAGAGAGAGAGAGAGAGAGAGAGAGAGAGAGAGAGAGAGAGAGAGAGAGAGAGAGAGAGAGAGAGAGAGAGAGAGAGAGAGAGAGAGAGAGAGAGAGAGAGAGAGAGAGAGAGAGAGAGAGAGAGAGAGAGAGAGAGAGAGAGAGAGAGAGAGAGAGAGAGAGAGAGAGAGAGAGAGAGAGAGAGAGAGAGAGAACAGGTAACGTGTTTCATTTTTAATAAAGGTTGCCTTGAACTTCTTTGAATAAATTTTATATTCCAGTATAACTTTCGTTACCACGCTGCATAATTAATAAGGATTGTGAGTTAATGACACACAAAAAAACTACTAGGCTTAAAGTTCGTGTTGTACAAGCTGCTCTCGTCTCTGAATTGGCTTTGTTTATAATCTCTAGTGTATTCTTCATCCTTGCATACATATATAAATATATATTATACTAGCAGTACCCGGCCACGCGTTGCTGTGGTTCAGCAATGCATGTGCGTTGCTGAGCCACAGCAACCTTCCCTGTCCCCCAGTCCTCCCCACCAATCCCCCTTAACCCTTGTAATCGGCCTCCCAACCATTCCCCCCTGCACCGTCCCCTCGGACAGGGAAGTGGGGAATGGTGGGCAGGACATTTGTCCTCCCCCCCCCACTCTCCATTCCCTCATCCCCATCATCCCAAACTCCCCCGTCCTCTCGTCCTTCCCCACCATTACCCCCTCCCTTTTCTCCTCGTCCTCCCCACCATCTCTCACTTCCGTCCCCTCGTCATCCCCACTCCCTCGTCCGATGCCTTCCCAAATGGTCTGATGTTCCCATTAGAAAATTGGGAACATCAGGTGATCTGATATTCCCATCAATGAAATATAAGAAAAACAGTTAAAAATTGTCGGAAAATCCGACACCATTTAATACAGACAGATAAGAGCTGTGTTGTATAAACAAGTTAACCCATAGAAAACGTAACTTTTAGTGGAATTACCGTCTATAGAAAACGGGATATCATCACCACATACTATTATAAATCACCACCTATTATGGTGGGAATTATTCTTAAATACATTAGTCTTTGGACTTTACCATCATAAAAACATCTTATATAAATTAACTTAATTATCAATATTAAAGTAGAGTAAATGTGACCCTTCTATCACTTTCTGAAATCTGGACAATGTAAGCCAGGCGTCAGGGTGAGGAAGGGGCAGCCATTGTTGTGTCACATCCCAGACGCGTGGAGCAAACTCGGCTCCTATCATATCTGGACAATGTCGGCCAGGCGTCAATAGTATGGAGTGTTAGAAGCAGCCATTGTTTATACTAGACCAGAGGCTCAGGGAGCAATTCGGCTCCTGTTAAATTTACTTGGACGTAGTGTTATGGAAACTAAAGGTTTACCATTTTCAACACGCTGTCTACAAATTCAAGTTAAGTGTTCTTTCCGAAACCCATGTATCTTTCATTTATGGCCATTACTGTCATTATATAGGGTGATCCGGTTAGAGCACGACATAGCCTCAAACTGAAGGTAATTAAGCCAGGTCTTTATTGTTCCATGTATAGTGTTTTCTCTGATATAGCTTGTCATATATAGGATTCTGGCTTCACAGCTAGCGCACTTTTGACAGGTCAAGACGAGGAAGCAAGATTTTGTGCACCAGTTACTGGGTGATGGAAGCTACCTCAAAGAGGATAATTTGGTGTCTACACCCTAGTTATACCTGGTGGACTAACCTGCTGTACTATAAGATAAGGAACCTTTTCAATGTATGTAGTCTAATTCTGTAGTTTGATTGGCTGCATATATATAAACTAATAAACCCCCCCTAATGTGTAGAGGATCGATTTGTGAGATTAAGAGATTATTGCAAAAATACAGTCCACTTATCATTATACAAATTGCTATCGAAGTATATAAATTAACGTAAATATAAATTCTATATATATTCATATAAATTAAATAAATATAAATCTCACAGGTCGGTTCCCACATTATTTGGTCATCTTCGAACCGGATGACGGGTTATTTGATCCTTTGAACCCACATTTGGTCATCTTAGTACCGGATGAACCAGTTAACCAGTGGATTCATTAAATATACTAGTGCAGTGTTATTTAAACAAAGCCAGCAGTCAATGACGGCGGCGTTGACTCGTGCGAGTTCACGAGCCCCGCTCAGTTCAGATCAGCTTCGTCAGCGGTTTCATGTACACCCACAGATTTGGTGGCGTGTTATTCTGTGAAATGACAGCGCTAATATAGAACCCAGCCAAATTAGTGACTGTGTCTTCGCGATATTGTTCACGGATTTCGTGGTGTTACATTTCGCGAGAGATTATCTACGAATTTTGTGGACTTTATTTCGCGAGGTCACTAATAATATTTAATACTTCTTGATAATATTAGAAGTTTCATAGAGGCTAATTAAGAGGCTATTATCAATTATTGTGTATATTATTTCTCCAAAATAGAGAATTATTTAATATATACTGCACTAGTGTTCACAGTATAATATTTACTAATTGCCAACCCACAACAGGGTAGGATATTAACCATTGACTAGTTGAACTATTATTACTCATCCTAGTCCCATTATTACCATAGTCAGTTGTACTATATTGAACAACCTAACACCATTAATGAATGGTCAGACCCTATTTTGGGTGTAATTTTTATCAACTCGAGTTGAGTTGTATATATAATAATTTACTTATGATCATTACACCTTTGAGTGATTAGTGTCTCTACCATCCTAGGGTGATATAGAAGAGCTAACCTAAAGGTACTTCCATGACACTGGTTTATCACTCAAATCATTAGTGTGGATGATTGTATATATATAATGTGTATTAATTTTAAGTGCTAACCTCTAGTAGAGGTAGGATTATTGCCTAGTGAGTTCAGAATTTAACCCTAGGCTACCATTAGTACTTGCTCACAATTTATGAGCCAGTGGTGCCCAATTAACAAGTCACCATGACTAATCCACAGAAAGCAAAGCGTGCTTTAATAGCAAGCAAATGCCAACTAACAAGGGATCTCAACCAATATGAACAGTTGTTATATGAGCCTGTAATTAATTATCATCGGTTGAAAATACCACTGTTACAGATTCAAACCCAATTGCATATATTGAAAGCAAATAGGAAATCTTACCAAAATCAAGTCCACGATGACGTAGTAGTTGAAGATGTGGAACCATTCCTGTCTGACCTAGCACAATATGAAGAAGAAACTCAAGGCAGGTTGGAACATTTACACAGGATAATTGAATCAGAACAAATAGCAAGTACATCAAATAAAGTAGATAATGTTATGGATGATCTGGATCTTTTTGAGAATAAATGTCAAGCCAGATTAGATCCTTTAATCAACAAGGATAAAGCTTCACCCAGTAAAGCTTCACCCACTACAGCTTCACCCAATATTATACCACCAGAAATTAAGCAGTTCTCAGACAATTTATCCACAGTCTCTGTGGTTTCTGAAAACCCAATACCTGAGGCTACTAAGTTAACATGCCTCCAAGCTAGAGGTGAAGCTGAACCAGTAGTAGAAAATGTAAATGAAAATAGCGACAGCACTAATTTCCCAGTCCAGCTTCCTAGGAATAATGCTGGCAATGAGAAAACTGTCATACATCTAGTACTACAATTGCTGGATTTACCTCAACCTGATCAGACTGCTGACTCATTACAATCCTTCAGCATGGAGTTTGAGTCACT